GAAGACAATATTGTGACAATAACAATATTAAAATTAAAGTTAATCCTTATACAACATTTAATGAAAACATAATTTACAATTGATTTTTTAATTGATTGTGAATAAAATTAAAACTTTTCAATACAAATTAAACAAACTAAAGAATGTTACAAACTTTCCAATTATCATAAAATGGATTATCTTAAAAACGGGTATTTTTATATTTGATAATTAAAATCAACATAACAAATTATTAAATTATATTTCAAAAGTCGATTATACCTATTTTATTTGAAAAACAAAACATTTAAAAACATTGAAATCTATTTATATCTTAACATTGATTTTTAATTTTTGTATTTTATAATAAGTTGTGTTCTTGTTTTATTATTTTTAAAAACAATAAAAATATTATGATCATTTAGAAAGATTGTTATAATGATATTTTGATCCAAATATAACAATTTAATACAATCACCGCAGTTTTTTTGGATTGTAGAAGCATTATTATTTTAATTTGTTTGTTTTAATAACAGTGTTGTCAAATTTATGTCAAAAAGTATCGTTTGTAAATTATAATAATAACAAATGTAATAAAATATAAAAATTGAATAAATTTCATTAAAAATGTTGAGTTATTTATCTTTTTTATATTTTTTGGATCAACCTAAGTTCACAAAAAACAACAGATTTATTTTATTGCTAAAACAACAAATTGTCCTTAACATCGTAATTAAATGGATTCATAATAATTTGAATTATAATAATCATAACAATTATTTTACAAAATCTATCCAATTCAAAAACTTTGGACACAAAGTCTGACATATCTACCTTTTGACTTTTTTGCTAAAATTTGTAATGTTTATAAAAATAATAATTGATTTTATTTAAAATAAAAATGTGTAATATATTTTATTCAACAAAATTGTGTTATCTTAGATGTTTTTTGTATGATAATTATTTTCATAATTACTACAAAAATATCCAGTAAAACATTCAATGTTATTCTGTTTATTTGATTCTGTAACTACACTGTCATAAAAATAAAATAGTTTTTAAGCAAAACAAAAATAATATTTTTAAATAAAACAATAAAAGTTATTTACAAATGTTCTTAAACAAAACTTTTGTTATCATACATTATATTATAATGACTAAAATAAATAGAAAGTGTTTGATTTACAAATGTTATTATTGTTATTATTTTTTGTTGAAATGGTCACTTAATTTGCTTTGTCTTTTTATTTAATTTTTAAACAAATTTCATAATATATTAATAAAAAAACAATTCTAAATAAAATAACACACAAAAACGAATAATAATTGTTCGATTGAATTGTATTTTTGGATAAGAAAAGTGTTTTTTATCTTAATTTATATTTTAAATCATTAATATTAAATATACAAACATTATTATTGTATTTCTTATATTTTTACCTTTTATAATATCAGTATTAATATTTTTTACACAACAAAAATTAAAATTGTTTTGTTACTGACTTTGTTTTAGTTAATTTCATGTGGTTTCAAAATAATTCAATTCACTTTTTGGTTTGATTTAATACTATTATTATAATTAAGTCTTTTTTATTGTTATTGTTTAATTTAACAAATTGAAAAAAAATCTTTTTTAATCGTTTTGTTAAATGTTATGATATTGATTTAATTGTGATTGGACCTACATTGACCACCACCTTTACCAAAAAATAATATTTGCCGCGAGTGTTTTTTAAAGGGAGTCCATTTTTCAGCCACTGTTTGTGCGTCCACATGTCACCCACTTTCCTTGTCCGTACTGTGTGGATGCAGATGTGGTTCCCCCCGCTTGAGGGGGTTCAGGGATCCGCGCCAAGGGAGGACTGGAAAAGTGGGTGAAACGATGCACAAACAGACTGTTTGAGTGTGTTTTCAGAGCCTTCTTTTCAATGCTCCGTCTCACTCGGTTTCCACTAACTCGAGGTGAATTTTTGGCATTTTTTTGGATTCGGGAACCAGACCTAATATCTTCCAAAACGCCCATTTACTATAATTATAATTATAAAATATAACATATAGTAAATAAATTTCATATTTAGACGGGGTTAAGGTGGGAAAGGTCTGCCTTTAATAATTATAATAAACGCCTGGTCTTAATAGCATCAGCAGTGCTTTTTATTTATGTTATTTAAAATAGTTAATTAATTATATTGTCAATTGTAATTTTTTAATTGTGTGAAAAGTCTATTGATCTATTCTTAGTTTTTTGCTTTAAAAATTAAATTGTGTTATTAAATTATTAAATTATAATATATCATATTAACATTTGTGCTATTTGTTTTCAAATTAAAATATTAACTTTAATATGATTCTAATAGTTAATTACTATAGTTTGTAGTTTGAAAAAACCCATAGTAGATAAAAATACCAAACTACTTTCTATTAATATACTTCAGAAAGATACAACGGGACACAAAGAGTAGATATGCCGCAACTGTCGAAACTTGTTGAACCCGGCGAGTTGCGGCGTCGTGAATCCATCTCCAGAAGATACTAGACACAAAGAGGAGATGCCTGAAAAAAGAAACATCAAGATATCCTAATCGAGTGTTGGTTCCAGTGTTAGGTTTGGTGGGTAAAACCCGTTTTCTTTCAGTCTGTCCTGCTTTTCAAAAAGGACAGATTTTGTTAAAACTTGTGTACATTAATTCAAGTTGTGGTGACGTGGCATATTACAAATATGACACATTTGGAGTCAATGTGTAGCAAGTTTGAAATAAAACACAAAAATGACAAAAAGTCAGTTAAATTGGAAGACAACAACACTTTTTGGTGTGAAATGGACATCATCAGTCAACTCGTTCTTTTTGGCGGTGTAAGTGTCTGGTCTGCTATAACTACCATTTATGCCTTTCTTGCACACACCTATATCATCACCATAACCAAACGCAAAGAGATAATTATGGTCTTGAGGATAAAGCCAAAATTCACAATTGGGGCGATTTCCAGTCTTCCCAAACTTTTTTGGATTCAAAGTGTCTTTTCTCACAAGTGAAAAGATGTAAGAAGAGCCACTGCTGATATATATATCAACTGCATTTATATTTCCAGTGTACACGCCACCAAACTTGTTGTGATTTGTGTCTTCTACCAAAAAGCACAAGTTGTTTTTGTTCATAATGTTTTCATAGAACACAGAAGTGCCCTTTGACCAGTCGTCTTTGTCTGAGTCAAACAAAACGCTCCCAATCTTCATTTCTGTCAACTTCTCAAGACCGGCTTTTTCTTCAAGTGTGATGTGTTCTCTTTTCATTCTTTCTTGTTCTTTTTGTTCTTTATCATGTTGTCTCTTTGAATTGATGTATTTCTGTGATTTCATAATTTGATCGACTGCTTTGTTTTTAGCCTGGACAATTGTGTAGGTTTGGTCTTTAGATAGTTTTATGTCCATTTGGCACTTTTCCTCAAGAAGTGCAATTCTGATATTGAATATCTCATACAACTTCTCATTATCATTCTTTGTTGAATACATTGCCATTTCACTTTTGATTTTGTTTGATGCGTTATTCAAATCAGTGACGATTGTGTTGAGTGATGTTGTGATGTTTTTCTTTCTTTCAAATACCTCATCGAGTCTGTCAAAGTGTCCTTCTGCGTTTTCAATGCGTTGATCAATGTCAAGTGTCTTGTCGTCAACAAAGTTGTCTTCTTTTTTTGTTTTTTTGAGGTCTGACACCGCCTTTGCTGCGTTAGTGCAGAGTGTTGAGAGTGCTGTCAACTCGTTTTCCATTGTATGTTAATAGAATTTATTTGTTTTTATATTTAATTTTATATAAATCTCATTTAAAATGATTATTACCTCATACATAATGATTTTTTTTTCTAATCAAAAACCAAAAATAAAAATATTCAAACCATCATAAATGATTTTAATTTCAACCAAAGTTATTCAAAATTTGTAA